AGAGGGATTCCACTTCAAGGTCTGAAAGTAGGACTTTTATCTTAAAAACAACCACGACAAACAAAAGCTATCATATAGGATGGATAAGAAGATGCTTAAACAGTTTTGTATGGATCTTGTTGGTGCTGAACTATGGCATGAGCTTTATAGATTGTAAAATAGAGATAGTTGGAGCTAAAGCACAGAACTAAAAATTTTTTTTTCCTCCAGCTATATTAAAGTATGATTGACAGATAAAAATTGTATATATTTAGGGTATATAATATGATATTCTGATACATGAACTAAAAATGTTTAAACTTTATTTGCTGTTAAATTCTGTGAAGTTTTAGTTATCTAAAATAAACATACACAAATATGAAAAAAATAAAATTCTATGTTTTTGATGAGCGCTAACCTTCTAATGTTGCCTTCTAAGCAAATTGAAAGCTGCATTCTACTGAATGAGGAAGAGAACAAATACTTGGCTGAATGAAGTACTGCAAAAGACTCGCATGCACTTTGAAGAAAGACTTAAGTCACTGTCATATGATATCCATTCTTTTTACATTTTTCTTAAATAGATGACAAAATACCTACACAGAGTGATATTTCGGTTAATATAATAAATGTATTTTCCAGAATGACATTCAGCTAAATATGCCTGTATGTGATTTACTCCATAGGTACTTGATGAACACATTATTGTCAGATTGGGTACAGATGCTAAACACTATGTCAAGGTCATTCCTAGTCATTTATATTTCTTAGGGTAAAAGTGAAGTGATTTGAACTATAAAAAGACCTTTGAAATAATTTATCAATGTATTAGATAAACCCAGTTTCAGAATGATTAAGAAAAACATTTGCCTGCATTCCCTGAAAGAGTATAAATATTGGGTCCTGGTGACTTGAACTGACTCTTCCAAATTATAGAAATTTATCAATGTATCAGATAAACTCAGTTTCAGAACGATCGAGGAAAAATATTCGGCCAAATAATGTGGCAGATTAACAGAGGTACGATTTCTAGCCCAAGGGCTGAAAATGGACTTAGAGTAACTGTCTTTAAACTGAACTCACAGAATGCAAAAGTGGCAAGTTCAGAAATAAAACACAGAACAGAACTTTAAGTCCATTTTAAACCCCCAGGCTAGAAAT